GACACTGGATTTTAGTGGCCAAAAGGAGATAAAAGATGAGGATCTGGGCTTGTGTGGGTGGTGCTGAGACTCCTCCACTTAAAAGGGTCATGCTCTTGGTGAAAAGTTACATACAATAAATACAAATCTACCCTCCAGGACAGAGGACCACAAAGAAACCCAACTATCTCTCCTGAGCTCTAAGGGGGTGGGAAAGCATGGCTTCCCTGAGAACTTGCATCCCTGGGCCTTGTGTAACAAGAGTCTGAGGTTCTAGTATAATTTAAAACCACGTGATCCAAGAAACCCCAATTTAACATAAAAAATTTTATTCTAAGCAAGTGAGATCTCCTAAGGCAATTGGCAGAAACCAAGGAAGGAACATACCCATAAGCTGAACCATTCCCAAGTCCCAAAATAAAGGCTCCCTGAAAATGAGTTCACAATCCAAAATCAAAAACATGAAAGAAAAACAATTTACCATGAATGAGAATCAGCAGTCACAATAAAAACAGCCTCATCCCAAAAATTTCAGAATACTCATGTAAAGAACACAAAATAAAGTCCTGAACTAATGGAAAACATAAAGGAAGTAATATAAACACGAGAAAGGATAAAGATACTATCAACAAAAAACAGACATATATGAAAAAGAATATCTAGAAAATAAACAAAATCTTTGAAAATAAAATCTCAGTAGATTGACCATTAGCAGGTAAACACATTTTAAGAATGAATAGATCATTAAGAAGATAAAGCTGCAAAAACATAAAACAAAGAGATAAGGAAAATAAAAAATATCAATGGGTCAGTATCTAAAGAAGAAAGAATTCAACAGACATCTAAGATAAATTCCAGAAGGAGTGGGTAAAGAGAACAAAGGGGAGATCATTGAAACAAAAAGTCTCTGATTCAGGAAATCAAGTGAGTTCTAAGTACAGTTGATAAAACTAAATTCATACCAGAGCACACCATGAGGACACTCTAAAACACCAAAGACAAAAGGGAAATCTAACAACCAATCAAAAGAAAAGACAGGTTACCTACAAAACAGCAATAATAATTAAACTTCTAGCAGATTTCTCAACAACCATCACTAGACAATAGAAGACAAATGACAAACATCTTTCAAGTGCAAAACTAAAACAGCAGTCTGAGTTGTAATTTATAAGAAACCGAAATAAAAATGTTTTCAGATGTGCAAAGGAGGATGTTAACCATCGAAGGATCTGTCACTGAAAGAGTGATGAAAGGACAGACTTAAAAGAAAAGAGATGGAACCAAAAGTAAGGAATTGGAGATACATAGAAATAAACTGTGAAAGAACTGATCAACAGCTAATTGACTCTATAAAACAATAATAATGATGACTAATGCTGGGAAAACTAAGGTAACATGAATTAAAACAATCCAAATGCTCATGTTGTTTGTAAAAAGAATAAAGATATTGACCAACTTTTGACTCTTTTAGATTTCTATCCACTACACCTGTTAAAAGAAATTCATGTGAGAGAGAAACAAAGAATCAGAAAGAATTAAGAGAGAGTATTTAAAGATATCTTAGAAACAGAGAGAATTACATTGTGTGGTGATAACCATTCAGAAAAGGGAAAAAAAGAATAAGGGAATAGCACTAATAGGAAAGAGAAAGTTATAGGAAGACAGGAAAAAAAGAGGGAATAAAGAAAACACAATCCAACAAAAACCCAGAACAGAGGCACTTTTTGAACATTTTTTTTAAAACATGATGAGTAATACAAATAAAAAGGTAGAAATAAACCTAAAATTATCAATTAACATAAGTGGGCTAAACATATCAGATAAAAGATTAAGACAGACTGGATTTTTTTTAATTACAAGAAATTCACCTAAAATATTAGGATACTAAAAGTTTAAAAGTATAAAAACTCAGCTGAGAGGGCTATAAAATTAGACAATTTTAAAGTAAAAGCACTACCAGGAAGGTCCATAGACAATATTAAAGGAACAATTCAATAGGAAGAAATGAGAATTGTCAACTTTTGCTCACTTTATTATCATAATGTAAAACATAATTAAAATTTAAAATGACAAAACTATAAGAAGAAATAGACAAATCTCTAAACTTTTTTCACTAATTAGGCAGACTAAAAAATTAGGGAATGTATAGATTTATTTTTTCTAAAGATTTATTTACTTTAGTTGAAAGATTTACAGAGAGAGAGAAGGAGAGGCAGAGAGACAGAGAAAGAGGTCTTCCATCCACTGGTTCACTCCCCATTTGGCCACAAAGGATGGAGCTGTACCAATCCAAAGCCAGGTGCTAGGAACTTCTTCCAGTCTCCCACGTGGGTACAGGGGCCCAAGGACTTGGGCCATTTTCTACTGCTTTCCCAGGCCATTGCAGAGAGCTGGATTGGAAGAGGAGCAGCGAGGACTATAATCGGTGCCCATATGGGATGCCGGCACCACAGGCAGAGGATTAACCTACTGCTCTACAGCGCCAGCCCCCTAAATAAATCTTTTTTAGAAAATGCTATGATAACACATGGCTGGTATTGTGGTGTAGCAGGAAAAGTCACCACCTGTGACATCAGCATCCCATATGGGCACCGGTTCAAGTCCTGACTGCTCCACTTCTGATCCAGCTCCCTGCTAATGCACCTGGGAAAGCATCAGAAGATGGCCCAAGTCTTTGGACCCCTGCCACCCACGTGAAAGATCCAGAAGAGGCTTCTGGCTTCTGGCTTGAGTTCAGCCCAGTTCCAGCCATTGAGACCATTTGGGAAGTAAACCAGTAAATGGAAGATCTCTCTCTCTCTCTGTAAAACTCTGCCTTTCAAATAAATAAATTCATTAAAATGTTATGATAAAGAAGAGACAAAGTAATGAAGTGGTAGAAATGAGGGCTGTTTAGCCAACCACCTGGGTTGAATCCCAGTTGCAGGGCCTTGGGAAGACACCTCGTGGCTGTTACTTGTGATCAGTGGAGCCACAGCTCAGACTCTGCACCATCAGCTCCCAGTACCTACACACTAATTACATTCCCTGAATGTAGCATCTTCCTCCCATAATGCAAAGGAATATTATTATCCCCATTTTACAGATGAAAAGATCAAGGTTTGGAAACTTTCTGTGATTCACCCCAAGTCATGGAACTATCAAGAGTTGGAGACCAGCGCCGTGGCTCACTAGGCTAATCCTCCGTCTTGTGGCACCGGCACACCGGGTTCTAGTCCCGGTCGGGGCGCCGGATTCTGTCCCGGTTGCCCCTCTTCCAGGCCAGCTCTCTGCTGTGGCCAGGGAGTGCAGTGGAGGATGGCCCAAGTGCTTGGGCCCTGGACCCCATGGGAGACCAGGAGAAGCACCTGGTCCTGGCTTCAGATCAGCGCAATGTGCTGGCTGCAGCGCACCAGCCATGGCGGCCATTGGAGGGTGAACCAATGGCAAAGGAAGACCTTTCTCTCTGTCTCTCTCTCTCACTGTCCACTCTGCCTGTCAGAAAAAGAATAAAAAAAAAAGAGTTGGAGGCGACTCAAGACCAGATCTTTCTGACTCCAAAGTCTGCTTCTCAACTATCATGTTCATCTACAAGAGACAAGGAAAGCCCCTGCTGGCCGCTCAGGGTAGTGATGCTCAGGACAGCTTTTTACTGCACTCCCAACTGTAGGGAAAAGACATCTTTAAAGTGGAAGGTAAGGGGCTGGTGCTGTGGTGTAGCAGGTAAAGCCACTGCCTGCAATGCTGGCATCCCATATGGGCACCAGTTAGAGTCCCGGCTGCTCCACTTCCAACCCAGCTCTCCGCTATGGCCTGGGAGAACAGTGGAAAATGGCCCAAGTCCTTGGGCCTCTGCACCCACGTAGGAGACCCGGAAGAAGATCCTGGCTCCCAGCTTCAGATCAGCACAGCTCCAGCTGTTGCAGCCATCTGGGGAGTGAATCACCAGATAGAAAACCTCTCTCTCTCTCTCTCTCTCTCTCTCTCTCTCTTTCTGCCTATGCCTCTCTGTAACTCTGCCTGTCAAATAAATAAATAATTCTTTCAAAAATTAAATACAGTGGAAGGTAAAACAGAAGGGGAAAATGCCCCTTGCTCATTTCTTTCTGCTACTGCTAACCCAGCAGTTAGGGTAGCGGGCTTTGGAACCAGAAATAACACAAATAACATGAAAATTTTCTAGTATTTATTAGACAGTGACTACATACCCAACATCATGCTAAGCTCTTCCAACCCTCACATCTCTTTTTACAGATTCTGTTGTTGTCTCAGAATACAGATTAAGAACCTAGGAGCAGAGAACTTAAACTCGCACAGCTATCAATCAGCAGAGATGGATTCCAAGCCAGACCATGTGAAACCAGAGCTGACAGTCTTATCTACCCTAAAATCTCGGGCTCCAGCTCTCTCCTCTATGAGGCAGGGAAGACCATACTCCCACCCTGAACTGAAGAGGAAATGCCACAAGGTAAAGATAGCAGCACAGTATCTGGGCAAGCAGTAGTGACAATGATGATGATGACAATGACAACGATGATGATGGAGGAGGAGGACAGGTACTTGCAAAGATAGAGGCCTAACTGCCCCCAGAATAATTTGCTGCATAAAATCTTTGGAAATAAATCTCTCCATTTCATTCACACAAAATCTTCATGTGGACAGATCATTTGTGCTCTGTGTGGGAGCTCATTTTCATCAAGATCACAGCATCTTTATATTATATGAAGATACAAAGAAAAGTATTTAAAAGAATCCAACAAAATTGTAGAGAAATGAGGGAAAAAAATGCTCACATTACTCAGGCGCAGTAAGTCTAGCTTTGAACTTCATTTTCCAGAATTCTTGAAATATCAGTGATCCTACCACAAAAGACCAATTAATCAGGCTGTGTTTGTTCTCTATGTATGAGTCACTGTTGCCATCTACAGCTAAATGTGGGGCCTGCAATGCTGCCAAATAACTCATTCTAATAGCATCGTCCTGGAGCCCATGGTGCTAAGAAAACATGCGTGTTCAATGAGGACAGAAAATGAAAATGCTACCTGAAGGAGCAGCTCTTTTTCAACCACCTCTTCAGTCTTGCTGATGAGATGCTTCTGCAGGGTGTGAATTTTCTGTATCAGCTCAAAGGTACTGGGGTCACTGGCCTGTCCGAGGAGAACGACAACAAGCAGTGGAGATACCATCAGTCTCAAAGCATCAAGGTCCCTACATTCAATCATTACTGTTTTATTAAAATGTGTTGCAAATCTACAGACCCAGTACAGAGAACCAGAACAAAAACAGAATCATAACAGAAGATAAAATGAGATAGTCATAAATACCTGCTACCCCTAAATAAATAAATAAATAAATGTAGATTCTAGTTTTCCTAATATCTTTTTAGTTAGCCTATAAATCAAAAGTTAGTGTGTGTTTTTCTACCAGTGAGTATAACAGTAATACAAAATAAAGATAGCTACTATGTGTGATAAAGTATTCTTCACCACCATGCAGACACTACAGTGAGTGCTTTTCATACAGGAACCCATTTTGTTCACACAACAGCCCTATGAGATAGTATCAGTCATCCCCTTTTACAGATAAGAAAATTGAGGCTCAGAGAAATCATTTGCCCTGACTAGAAAGAGTCAGAACTGCATGGGGGCCCAGATATTCCTGTCTGCAAAGACTGTGGTTCTTAACTATTATGCTCTAAGGCTTTCCCCATCATCTCCTATTTCATAGGCATAATAAAGGCTTCTCCTAGTCATTCAGCCTTAGGATTCTCCTTTTGGCAATTGTCAACAAGATTCATTAGAGTTTATAGGGGGAAAGCGTCCAAGACATGGACATGGACTTCTGCTGCTAATTGGCAGGAGAACATGGCCATGGAGCTCAGCCCCAGATGGAGTTATCAACCCATAAAGTATGATGCCCCTTCAGTAGCTATCTGTGTACAATTCAAACAAGAGCTGCAGTTAGAAACTGATGATTGACCTCTAGACTTCAAGCCAAGGCTTCACTTTCAGCATTACTGACATTCTGAGTGAATCTAGCAGCTAAATATTTTCAACTGCCTCCCAGTCTCCATTTTCTAATATTTTTTGATAGAAATTGACATGGAATTGGAAACTTTAAAGATCTGCTTGGAAACACACAGCATAAGCTAATGTGACGGTAACTGGATTTAAAATCTTCAGTTCCACTTCCCTGGAAACAACCATGTTACTGTTGAGTTAGTAAACCATGCCACTCCTGGCATTTGAAGAGGAATAAACAAGAGTCCAAGAGAAAAAAGCAAGGAGATTTCATTGACTCTAACTTTGCTTAAGAAACACCAAGCAAGGCCAAGTGATATCCATACATCAGGACTACATTTGGCATACATCCACTTGGCCGGCCTTGATGTTGTTAAAATTCCGGTCTCGTGTTTACATAACAATTTATAACACATTATCCTTAGTGTTTTCTTCATCAAGGGGAAACAATAAAAATGAAAACCAAAAGCCTACTTGGCTGACTTTCCACCTTGCCCTGCCCCTTCCATCTCCCGTCATCCTAACTTTGGCAGCCATGATGCTGAGTACAGCTGAAGCTGATGGCCCTTTTCCTCCTTGAATAACCAGAGCGTACCTTTAACAGCTATATACAGTGCTGGTGGTGATGTCTATCAGGAAGTCATCGAATGTGAAGTTGCTGCCCCACCCTCTACCCGTGAGACTTTGGCTGGGTCCCCAGATCATAAGTGAAAGGGATTGGCTAACACAATGCCCATCCTTCAAAAAGAGGGCTACTGCTGACAGACGGGGAAGGCACTAACTGGTCTCTGCTGTGTATCTCCTGTGCCTCTCTGGGACTTTGCCAGCAAGAAAGTCATTACCCAACGTGGCCCTCAACCCTGGACTACAACTGTGAGCAAAAATAAACCTCTTTTTTTAAATAATTTAAAAAGAAAGCAAGGAAGGATGATGAAGATGCTGCCAGCCAATATTGCTAAAGGCAATTACCAACCTAAGCTTAACAGGCAGCCACAGAATAATGGGTTGATCAAAAATTGCCTAAACCCCAAAAAAAAATGTCAATTGGTGATACTAGTTTATAGCTTCTACATCAGCCCATAACTCTTATTGTGCCTCGCAGTCAGGTGCCCGCTCAGGGTAGAGGGAGAGAACTGGGGACTGAGGCATGCTCTGCCAGAGGGTACCTCAAGCTTCCTCCATCTGTGCACGTTCATGGGGTTCTGCAGCTCCTCCTCCAGGGCCCGGCACCGTGTCCTCTCCTTCAGGAATTCTCTTTGCATGTGAAAAAGCTCCCGCCTAAACAAGACAAACTTTCTTTGGCAAAGAAATTCTCGGCCCATTTGAGTGTCATATTTTTAAATGGTTATATTTCCATGAGGTCCTATATAAGAAGCTAGAATTAAGGAGGCTTTGGTGAGCACGGAGACTGGCCTCCTAAATCTGGGTAAGACATTGGTGACACCAATTCTTGCAGAATCCAGGAATGGCCTTATCTGTCACCACAAAGAAGGGCCAGGGTTTCAGAGTCCTAATTCCTGAAGCATATGAAAAGAAGGGGGAGGGAAGGGGAATTCTGAAAGTTTCAATAGACTCTTCCATGTTTCTCAGGGTCCCTGTGATAGGAGTAAGTGCACAGTGCCTGTGCCACACACATGGCGCCTGACTGCAAGCTACCAGAGCTCTTGTGATTCTGATGTCAATGGGGTTGAGCCCCTCCACCCTCACAAATGCAGAAAAATCACCTGGGGGACTTTGAAAACATCCCCGAGCCTGGACCCCATCCTAGTTGGATTCAAGCTTGGGGCCAGGGTTCCAAAGGCTTCCAGGCCCTGCTGGGACTCCTAGAACGCAGCCAGGACTGAGAAACACTGAGCTGGGAGCTGCGATCATCCTTCATCTGCTGTGCCACACAGCTACACAGATGGCTGGAAAAGTCGCGGAGAACCAGCTCTGGCAGGAACATACGTCTAAAGTCTCCAGGAATCTCTACTTAGTGGGTAACGTGCTACAACCATCTTCAGCATCCTGGGGGCTGGCTGCCACCCTATTGAGAGAAAACGTTGTTGGGAGGGGGAGAAGAGGCACGTACTTGGCGTTGACGCGGGCAGTGAGGATATTATTATCTGTTCTCGTCTGCTGTGGGTGTGCAGATTACTAAGACTAAGCTATCTCTTTTTGCTTAATTGCTTCATTTAAACCAATAATACCACTTCCCCTCATTAGTAAGACAAACCATTAGAATTAACTGCATGATGTTCACTCAACAGGGAGCTCAGAACAAGCTGCTTAGAATTAAAAGCATATTTTCAGCACTTTGATTCTCTAGTGTCATCAGAGGAAGAGGGCAGAAGGGTTAGCTACCCTATTTTGACGGCTAACTTTGCACTAGACCCTGCACTAGGCACACTACGTTCTCATGTTTAATTGTAACCACAAGTCCAAAGCTCAGAGAAGTTCAGTGATTTGCCCAAGGCCACACAGCTGGTAGGCCACAAGACTGAGACTGGAACTCATACTTGCTTACCTCCAGTCTTTGTCAAGTTCTCTCGCCCATTGAAAAGAAGAATGAAATCTGTTACCAACCAGCTAACAATATTGACTCGAAACGGGTAAAACTTGCTCTTCGGTGTCTGGGGGTGGGGAGTGGGGGGACCTCATGGCTGACAGGTTCAGTGACAGTCTTGGAGATCATCCAGTAGCTACTTAGAATGAATCCATTTGTCTCCCAAATGTCAGTGGTGGTGTCTCTGCTTAGTGCAGTTTATGAGTGATTTTCCAGTCCCTTCCTTATATTTTTTCTGCATTTCCCACATTTTTTGCAATTAATTGGTACCACTTTCAACATCTGAAATATAACCAAATACAACTCTTAACAAATAAAAGAAGTATTGATCCATCCTTGACAGTGGGAACCTCGATATCACTGAATATATTCACTGCATCTAGGCATCAAACTGTCTTCTAATCCAATTAATTGATCCAAAGTGTTCCCTTATCCCAAGGTGGTCAAGGACACTGTTCATCTTCAAATCTATGGGGAATACAGATAACTGCTGAGAAAATATCAGAACTCCTCTTTGGTTTCCTGCAATTGCCTATATAAAACATGGTGATGTTTTCCCACTGGGGAAGTAGATCTCGGGTAATGCAAGATTTAAAGAAAGAAGAAGGCATACTAAGGTAAAGTGAAAGCTGCAGAAGATAAATCAAGAGTATAGTATAAAATCTGGCTGCCTTCTAAGGAAATAGATTTTCAAATTGTGATAGAATTAAATTTTCCACCTCTTTTCATCCTGTGCATAATTCCAAGAAAATGGTGTGTGAATGTTACCAGTATTAAATTTGGATATTGATGCTCCTTCTCATTCACACTGCCTTATTAAACAAATTTGAAAGAGCTCATTGGAGGAAAATTTTTTTCTACAGAAAGAAATAGTTTATGTTTGTGATTTCACTTGACGTTTCTTTTTTAAAATCCAGAATAAAGTGCTTTTTTTTTTTAATGTTTTTGCATTTGCCTCTAGTTCCCAGCAAGGACACTAGTTCATTTTTGTGGCATAGCTAGGAACAATAGATTTTATGGAAAAGTTACTCTCATTATTTGCTAATTAATTTCACCATGTAAATCATTTTGGACAAGGTGATAAAGACCTTCAATGACTGGCAGGCATGAAAATTAGGTCATTTTGTGGAGTTAAAAGGGTTAATAGGAAGTTAGGAAAGGCCTAGGTGGGAATAAGGAACCAGGTGTTTGTATGAAACTTGACATCAACTGATTAGACAAAAGATTTTACCCCAAGAAAAATGAAAAATTGATAGTTAGGGAACACAATGGGTCCCAGACCCATAGGTAACAATTAACCATATGAGAAACTAGGCTCTGGCACCATACCAGAACACACCACAGAGTAACATGTCTCAAATGCTTAGCAACTGATCAGGTAGGCGTAACCTGCCTGTTGGTCAGGTCAACAATATTTTTTAACTGTCACATCTCCCAAGTGGTCGACATGGTAACATATGTTAACTGGTCAGGGACTATGACCACTACACCATAGACACAGAAAAAACAAAGCAGACCCCTGACACACTGAAACTATGTAGAAGAATTGATCAACTTACATGCAGTCCCTATATAAGCTCCCAATATCCAGTCCTGGACAGACCCCTCCCTCGGAGACCCCTCTTGGCAAGCAGGAGTCTCTGTATCTCAATAAACTCTACTTTCATTTGCTTTGCTCACCCCCCCCTCTTTTGTCCACATCGTAATTCTTCATCACCACAGGACAAGGCACCGACTCTGAATTCCTGTAATAATTGTAGGAGCTCCTACACATCACTGCACCCTCAGCCTTGTGGCCCTCCTACCTACCTGAGTTTGTCAACATTAGCCACACTGCTGGCAAGAATCCCCTTTTCCCGGCGCAGGTTATTTATCTCAAGCTTGAGGATTCTCATGTCCTCCACCCTCTGGTTATACTGGCTCTCGCCTTTATTCAGGACAGACTGTTGGATCTTGATCTTCTCATAGAGCAAAGCTAACTCGTCATTGCGCCGGACAAGTTGCGACCCGAGGATGTCTCTCTCGCTGATGACCTAGAAAGGCAGAGAAGAACATGGCCACCAGGAAACAAAACGGATCCCTCTCCATTGTGGAAGCAACATTCAGTCAGTTGATGAGAACTATCGAAGGCCCTCACAGGTTGGAGACCAGGAATCACCTGTAGACAATTAAAACTGGGCTCTTCCCATCAGCGCTTTCAGTCTCCTTGGAGAAAGAAACCACCATACAAAGAACAATCCGTGCTGATCATAATGGTCCAATAGTGCAATAATCCTGGGCCCACGAGAGTGTTGCTTTGTTTGCCTGCTTGTTTCCTAGCCTGTTATTTCTTTAAAATGTTTAAACTTGAATGATTTTATAGTGAGCTATCCGGTGTCAACTTCCACTACTTCTTACTATCTGGTACTGGCCAACTTCTCCGTGCCAGGTCTCTAGAAGAATTTAAGTTTTTAACCCACACATTACACATCTGAGTTACCATATCCCAAATTATGTAATTATTAATTGCAGTAATATGTGAGACATTAAATTATAATAGAATACAAGCTCCCTGAAAACAGAGACTTCATTGTTTTGTTGTCCAATGTGTCCCAAGTGCCTGGAGAAGTGACGGACACACAGGAAATAAATCCAAGTTGAATAGGTGAGTTATTTCATAATTAATCAACACAAGATGGGCCTCTGCCACTGTTTTCCAATAGGGCTAAACAGCAGTGCTTAGAGAGGAATGCGGATTCACAGAGAGTGGAATCAAATGCTTGTGTCTGCAGGTCTGACGAGAAGGTTCTACCTGGTCTAATTCCTTCTTCTGCCTCAACCGCTCCCCATCAGCCTCAGCAATGATCCGCAACAGTTTTCTCTCTTCAGCTTCTTGCTTTTCAATGAATTGTTTGGTCTCCAGAGCTTGTTGTCTCAGCTTCTGCAGCTCGGCCTGACAAAGAGTGAAAGATACAGACAAATTTCATTCGATAGCAGCACAAGCCAAGACTACAGGGCCCGGGTTTAGATGTACAGTCGTGCTTCTTGCATGTTTCACTGATGTTTCATTTAACACGGTTTGCTCACTCTTACAAGCAAAACAAGCTAAACACATATGCAGAGAGAGAGAGAGAGAGAGAGAGAGAGAGATGCCCATGAAGAAAGAGCAATGTGTATTACAGTGATCACATTTATTCTGAAATGTGCCCTTGAGGGATTTTTATCATTTTTCTGTGTGTGTGGAACAGGGGCTACATTGATAATTAGCAGAATTTTATCTCTTTCCAGCTAAACACCAGGAAAAAATATAGTGCCAAGGAAGATGTGGGGTTCAGGACAGGGGAATTCTCAGTATGAACCAGCTCCTATTATAGTCCCAACACCACCAGTACATTAACTACAGAGATTAAAATTTTTTTTAATTAATCAAAGATAACAACTAAAAGAAGAAATATCATAGTACAAAAATATACTCAGATGCCCCCTCAACTTACCAAGGTTCTATCCCAATAAACTCCTAGTTGAACATGTCATAAGTCAAAAATGCATTTAATATACCTAAACAGCCTCACCTAGCCTGCCTTAAATGTAATCAAAATACTTACATTAGCCTACAGATGAGGAAAACCATATAACACAATGCCTATTTTCTAATATGGTGTTAAACAGTTCGTGTAATGTATTCAATACTACACTGAACGTAAAAACATGCGAATGCATGGTTGCTTACCATCAATGTAGTTAGTAAACACTGAAGCATGATGTCTGCTAAATACAATCACTTTTGTACCATCATAAAATCAAAAACATCTTAAGTGGAACAATCATAAGTCTAGGACCAGCTGTATAGATTCTACCCCTAACACACGTCCAGTCCAGACAGGAAGTTAAGATATGCAAAGATTAGTAAATCCAGGCAAGAACTTTTCAGTATCTTTGTTATCAAGCAGACAGTAAATTGATGTTACAAAATCTCAAAGGAAAAGTCATCACTGGACTGAGGTCATCAGGAATGCCTTCTCAGAGAGCTCACTCTTGATTTTGGCCCTTAGTTTCATAGAAATTGCAGCAAGGATGGAGAGAAGGTGCTATGGACTGGTAAGTTTCAAAAGGGAAATTTCCTTCATCAAAATGCACATTTACTTCTTTTTATTTTTTTAGATTTATATATTTATTTTGAAAACCAGAGTTACAGAGAGAGAGAGAAAGATAGCCAGAGAGGGAGAGAGACGGAGAGAAAATCTTCCATCCACTGGTCCACTCCCAAGATGATCCCAACAGCCAGCACTGGGTCAAGGCATAGCCAGGAGCCAGCAGTTTCACCCAGGTCTTCCATGTGGCTGGCAGGGGCCCAAACACCTCTGCTGCTTTTCCCAGGAAATTAGCAGGGAACTAGGTCAGAGCAGCTGAGACATGAACAGGTGCCCCTATGGGACACCAGCATCACAGGCAGTGGCCCCACCCACCACGTCACAACCCTAGCCCTTACACATTTAGTTCTATTCCACAGGTGTAGCTGTTATGTACAATATAACAGGAATGATACTAGGCCTTCTGCAAAGCTACTCTTCTCTCCATTTTACAAACACAATTACATAAACAAAGAAAAGCAAATAATTTGTCCAAAGTCACAGAGCTAGTAGTAACAGAATTGAGATTCCAACTCAGATCTTTTGATTCTAGGATCTGTGTTTCCTCTATTGTCACCATATAATAGTTCCAAATGAAATACAGAAGATGAGTAAAACTGTGAGGATTCACCATCCACTTGGGTATGATGACTTTAGCTAATGATGAGATGAAAGTGGAATCTATCTGTGAAAAAAGATACAGGAGGGCCGGTGCTGTGTTACAGTGGGTAAAGCTGCCACCTGCAGTACCAGCATCCCATATGGGCATTGGTTCAAGATCCAGTTGCTCCACTTCTGATCCGATTCTCTGCTATGGTCTGGAAAAGCAGTAGAAGATGGCCCAAGCACTTGGGCTCCTGCACCCATGTGAGACCCAGAATAAGTTCCTGGCTCCTGGTTTCAGATCGACCCAGATCTGCTTTTTGTGGCCATTTAGGGAGTGAACCAGCAGATCGAAGATCTCTCTCTCTCTCTCTTTCTCTTACTCTCTTTCTCTCTCTATCTCTCTCTCTCTAACTCTACCTTTCAAATAAATAAACAAATCTTTACAAAAGAAAAAAGGGAAGAAATTTTAAAAAGGAGGGGGGAGGGGATTTCTTTCTATTTCTGCCTGCAGTTTAAAGGGAAGAACCAGTCAGGTCTCTGGTAATTGACAGGTATATTTTCAAAATGGAGGAGCACGTGTTGGGGAAGGGCAGTCAAGAGTCAGGCTCCTGTGAACAAAGGCATGCAAACTATAAATTACTTGGTGTGTTCACCAGACACCAAAGCATCCAGTGTGGCTGGATCAGTGTGAGGTAGCAAAAGAGGTAAGGCTGGCAAGTAGCCAGACAAGACTGTGTCATGTGCTGTATAGAGTATGCCACGAGGAATAACAGTTGCCATTTATTAAAGGAAAGAAGACCATGTTTCAGAGTTTCCATCACCACCCAGGCTGGCACAAGAGGAAACAAGTGAAGAGGAGGAACTCCGCTTTCATTCTTGCCTGGAATCACAAGGGAGATGACAAGACCATATTAAGGTTCCAACTTGTCAATAGCTTGCATATCAATGATGAAAGAGTAATAATTTTTTCCTTTGGGACCCTACCATCCAGAAAGATCATCAGGATGATAGAAAGCCCCATACTTGTAAGACTCTATGAACCAACCCAACTCTAATCAAGGTTTGTCTCTAATCCATGAAGACCAACAGTCATTAATTTTGTACCTCAGACTTACCCAAACAGTAGAAGATTCTGTGCACCTAGAAATAAATGTGCAATGTCACAAATTAAATGCTACCAGCAACAATAAAACCAAGGGTTTCTCTTAGGACATTTTATCTGATCATTTATGAAATATGTTGTGGTCCAGGGACAAGCAAAAGGAAATACTTATTTGGAAAATATCTGGTCTAGCATTTACCACTTGGAGGGATTGTTTGCTAGGAAAGAGAGCAAAGAACAAGCCTTTCTGTTCCTATAGTCATGCAAGGTAACAGTGACAACAACAATAAAATATCAGTGTAGCTCATGCTTTCCTTAATAAAACTTTTATTTTCCCAGCTTTGCAACATTCACTGCCCTGTTCCTCAGTGCCAAGAGCTGATCGGAATCCATCAGCAGAACAAAATGAAACCCCTGTTATATTAAAATGCAATCAACGGTGTGTAAAAGTATCTGTCTGAAATGTAAAACCATTCGTGCGTTTGGCATTGCTGGGTACTTTTTTCATAATATATCAAAATCCTGAGTCATCTCCTTATGTCATAAATTTATGGGCTGCAAACAAGATGTGGCATTAGACGTTAGCAGCAAATGTTAACATCTACAAAAAACCTTGGGTCTGATGCATTTCACAGTTATAAATCTGAGCTGTCTCCCCTGGGAAAGATCGTAACAACTGCTGTGCACCCAAAGGCCCATCAAACATAGCCTCAGTGGGCCCTGAGATTTCTGCACCTATGGAAGTATTACTGGTGGGATGAACTTGCAATGAACTGGCAGGACATGCCTCCCAGTCACTGCAATAAGTGTTTGTGCACTATATATCATCTAATTTAGCTATGGATGTAAATCATGTTTCAAGAGTCATATTTGTGGGAGTCACCCATTCATACTTGATTCCAAGAGTCACTGAATTTCACAAAATTATCTGTTTATATCTAGCAAAACAAATAGGACCACCTGATAATTAGGCTTTGCGGGGGGGGGGGGGGGGGTATGTGGTGTGCCTCTGATGGATGACAGCTCCCATCCACGCCGTACTACAGAGTCTGCTAAGTAAAAGGATATGGTGTCCTGAAGCCAGTCCCTAATGTAGTGCTGACTTCTGGACACAGAGAATTTGCTGCTGAATTATTCACCTAGAATCAAAGAGCTGTCAGAAAGATGTGGGGTGATTGGGAAGTGATGAGACAGAATTGGGGACTTGTTAGGACTGGAAGGCAGACACTCCAAAAGAGATGGCTCCTTCAATGCTAATGAAACCAGATTGGGACAGAGTAGGCAGAGGCAGCAACATCTACAGAGAACTATTGACATTCTGTCATAAGCATAATATACTGACAGTGTCTAGACGCCTGAGGAGTCAGCAGAGGCTGAAAGCAGTGAAAACAGAAAAGAAAACATGGAAGGAGCAAGATTTTTGTGTTGAGGGGATTGAATTAGAATGGCGGTAACCTGCTACGACAATAGTTTGTTTATCAGCTTGGAGAAGCAGTAAATTAGGTTATCCTGTCAAAAGGCAACTTGTGGTCTCCCAAGCAGCCTACGACATGCCACTCCAGAAGGGATTAAGTAGCCATATAGCTTTGCAGAATTTACAAAATAAGATAACTGTCTCGTAGAGCAAAGTTACTAGCAAATTCACCCTTTCCTCCAGGGTTTTGGTTTGCAAACTTCAGATGCATGAAATGCAAAGACCTGTGCAGAATGTGATTCAAATTCCTAGGCTAAAAAAGCCAAAGCTGAACCTGAACATTTGAGCTGTCATATTTTTTCTTAAGAATGTCAAACAGGTTTAATGATAGGTCAAAATTAGCCAGTTGGAGTACCATTTCAAGTCACCCTTGAATAACCTCAAATAATAAATCAACCAGGCACCCTTTCTCTTCCTCATTCTTGCCTTAATGGGAAACTCTGGGAGATAAAGCATCCTAGTTCCACAGTAAGTCCAAAGCAATGATCCTCCTCTCCTCTCTGATCCAAAGGCACGCAGACCTAGGATTCCCCATAAGAGCAGACTCTCCAGAGCAGAAGCATTTTAATTATCCCCCATGCCAATATGGCTGGCCCAGGAGCAAATAATAGGATCCTATTTCTCTTCACTTTATTATAATGCTTCTTCAGCACTACATACGTAGATGCTTGATGATGAAGAATGTAATTGATACCAATATTAACTAAAGTCAAACTCTAAGGAATTGGGAATAATTTTGTATAGGGCACTGCTTATTCTAAGGCAGGATTTTGTAGAAGGCAATGGGTCCCCATTGGGCCCCATTATGGGACAGTAGTCTTTTGACTAGAGCCTTACATGGGCAATTAGATGAGAATCAGCGTCATCCCTCACAGAGAAAAGAGATGATGCAACACATGGATTACACTGAACTCATGCTACATGGTCCATGAGAGAGACCCACAGTGAATCGTGTTTGCAATAAAACGCTTCTGGTTCCTTCAGTGATAGATCAACCCCATCCTGTGACAGGCTCTGGGGTAGAATAAACTGCCTTCTGTAAAACTCTGCTTTCAGAGCCAGCGCTTTGGCGTAGACGGTAGAGCTGCCGCCTGCAGTGCCTGCTTCCCACATGGGCACCAGTTCAAGTCCCAGCTGCTCCACTTCTGATCCTGCAAATGCACTTGGGAAAGTAGCAGAAGATGTCCCAAGTGCTTGGGCCCCTGAACCTGCGTGGGAGACCTGGAAGAAGCTCCTGGCTCCTGGCTACAGATCGGCGCAGCTCCAGCCATTGCACCAATTGGGGAGTGAACCAGTGGATGGAAGACCTCTCTCTCTCTGCCACTTCTTCTCTGTGTCACTCTGACTTTCAAGTAAAATAAATAAATCTTTAAAAAAAAAAAAAAGATTGAATCAGCAGATGAAAGTTCTCTCTCTGTGTCCTCCCCCTCTCTCTGTAACTCTGCCTTCAAATAAATAAATCTTTTAAAAAAAAAACTGCTTTCAAACAGAGAAAGAAGGGTAAAGATCAGGATATTTTTAAACTTCAGAAAAATAGATGTGTCTATATAAAAGTAAACTTGAATGCAGAATTTTCTTTTCCATCATAAATGGAGTAAGGGAGGTGAAAATCTCAAGTAAATATGTCAATTACCGGGCTGGCACTGTGGCATAGTGGGTGAAGCTGCTGCCTGCAGTGCCAGCATCCCATATGGGCACTGATTCATGTTCCGGCTGCTACACTTCTGATCCAACTCTCTGCTATGGCCTGGGAAAGCAGTGGAAGATGGCCCAAGTTCTTGCACCCCTGCACCCACTTGGGCGACCTGGAAGAAGCTCCTGGCTCCTGGCTTCAGATCGGTTCAGCTCCAGCCATTGAGGCCATCTGGGAAGTGAACCAGTGGATGGAAAACCTCTCTCTCTCTCTCTCTCTTTCTCTCTCTCTCTCTCTGCCTCTGTTTCTCTGTAACTCTGCCTTCCAAATAAATAAATGAACCTTTAAATATATATATATATATATATATATCAATTACCATATCACTTGTGTAAAGGTACTTTTGTTATAGCATAATCTTTATCAAGCCAAATATGCCTTAAGTTAATTGAATGTAGTAGTTCTATTTCCCTGAAAACCTATCATTAAGTTGACAACCCCATTATTAAATTGAGAGTACATGTTTCAGTCTACAGAGTCTTAGAATTAAGAAAATACACCATTAAACCTATGCGAAGCTAGACACAGTTTTCAAGATCAGAACTGTCTTTAAAAGCTAAGATGTACAGATGCCACGGTACCTAGTCTCCCATTTGTTAACAGTTCCCATAAATGACTCACAGCATCTATGGGTAGTCTGCATATACATTTTCAAAGTAAAAGTGGCATCATTCTCTTAAGAGTCCCTTTTTTAATTCTTTGGTCAAATGGATTAGTAGGGAAATTTATTGGATTGGACAGGAAAATGAAACACAAGAGGCTTAGTGAAGAGTATAGTAAAACATATTTGGTTAGAGGATTTGAAGTGGTATATATTTATTTGGCATGTATTCTTGGGAAGAGTATGTTATGTTAGTAGACACAGAATGCTCTAAATTAGTAGGTTTAAAAGGATACGGCTTGGTAAGACATGCAAACAAAGGTGATTTCTAGAGGAGCAAAATTCTTCAGCCCACTAAGATCTAGGGAAATATGAACCTGTTGGGAATGAACCAAGGGAGAGCAAAACTCTGACAACGAGGAGTTAACGACATTGCAGACAGGAAAGTCTCATGCACAGCAAGCAAAAAATTATCAGGAGCAGGGAGACAAAGCATTACTTTTAGAAGGCCCAGAGAAGAGCCTGGGCGGGTGAATGTGGGCTGAATTGGGGCTATAAATGCAAAGGATGGTAGTGAGCCTGCAAGTTCAAGGACTTCGTTGGCAAAGAAGACCTCCTAGGTTATCTTCCACTGACATGAACTAGGGGTTTATGCATCTCCACTACCTGCCTCCCTGTTTTCCCTGGAAGCATTTTCTGTAAGGAACCCCGACCTGAAGACCGTAGAGCTCACCCTCCCTGTGCCTTGCATGGCTGGGTTTGGGTAACTGGCAGCTGGGACACAGGCAGCCTGCACTCTGCTCCCTGCCCCTTGCTGCCTTCAGGGAAAGGTCAGTGGACTCCTGGCCCCCTGCTCTGCAGTAAGGTCTGTACCTTCAAGGTTTCCTTCTCTTTTTCTATTCGCTGCTGTTCCAGATTCAGTTTCTCAAGGGCTGAGTCTTTGGCAGAGATTTCTTCCTTCAGCTGATCTACCTGATGGGTCATAATCTTTAACTTCTTCTTCATTTCTGTGATTTCACCCTAACAAGATGAAAGGAGAAATGTATGCAAGTGAATTGAACCGACATCAGCATCCCTGTGGAGGTCCAATCCAGGTGTAGGCACGTTTAAGGGAAGCTCTCTCAAAGCAGCGGTCTCTTGACCAGTTGTGACTGGACAGTTCTTGGTCTGCTTGCTCATCAAACTCAAATCACTTGATAGCATAACTCTCAACAGACATTCTCATGAGATATATATAAAGTGTACATAACACACACACACACACACACACACACACCTGCATGCACACACACTTTGTATTCCTCATCTTAAGAAAAGAATCAGAAGCACAACAAACACTATAAAATATTTCACAGCAAACATTTGCAATTAAATGAGTCTGTTGCTGCCCTCTGAGTCATGGCAGCCATTAGCAGTTTTAAAAATCAGACAAAGAAGAATGGCAATGCTACATAATAATTAAAAGGAGGAGATGATCTCCAAATCCTATTAAGTTTTGTCATTTCCATTTCAAACAACCTAGTAGTTCTGCATAAATTGATCATCTTTTTCAGGTAAATTCCAGGAAATTTCTTTTTTGGTCTAGATTCTGCCACTAAGATAAGTGAAATGGGGGCTAAGATACATGAAACTGCTTGAAACCCAGGGCCTAGAGGAGTCAAAATTTAAAGACATAAAAATATTCTTTACCTGAGCTTCAACCAGACTTTTGCTATACAGGTTCCTGTCTGACCTCACAGCTTCGTACAGTTTCTGTTGCTGTTTTAATTTGCTCTCTGATTCAGCTATTTTTTTCCTGTAGTCAAATATCTGCATTTCACGGATTTTAATGTCTTCCATGTTCATGAGGACCTGGAGAAGAAAGCAAGGATATGAGCATAATTAAATAGCCAGCCTGTGTTTATGGGTTTGGGACAAGTGCAGTCTTCTACCTAAGGGACGCTGGTAGAGATGCCAGCAATCAGAAAATCTGACTGTGGCTATAATCACTGCAGTGCAACATGGAAATTCAGTGCAGCTGATTAGGGGCAAATATATGCTTTATCTACGCGGAGTTCTGCTCAAGTATAAAGACTTAATGCAATTATTTTGTGATCATAAAAGTGGGGGGGGGGGGGCCGGGAGAAGAAATTCTTTCAATCTCATAAACCTCTCCTGACCACCTCACCTACCAAAAAAAGAAAGAAAAAAAGCCACAGGCTTAAAACAGAACTTAATACAAAGCACAGAGAAAGATAAAAGATAACTTAGCTATGTGGCCACACTGGCTGCTTTATAAGGTTACCCGTGAAAGAAGAGTGGCCTTTGAACATTGATAGCAATCATAACGCTGTCTTGCCAATGTCAGACTCACTCCATCAGGGGAACTCAAAGGACCTCATAAAAATGCGTTCCACTGTGCACAAAGCACTTCCAGGAAAGCAAGGATGCCAGGATGACTGCCTCCTTTTTGCAAGTATGAAAAAGAGAGGCCTGAAACTCCTCTGTGAGCCAATAGCTCTCAGCGAGCAATCTCTGTGCTAGAAATTATGTTCTTGAAACTCTCAGCTGTGGGGTCGCCAGACAGTAATTGTTTTTGTTTTTATTTTTAAGGACAAGCTTTTTTTTTTTTTTTTTTTTTTTTTTTGACAGGCAGAGTGGACAGTGAGAGAGAGATAGAAAGGTCTTCCTTTGCCATTGGTTCACCCTCCAATGGCCGCCGCGGCTGGTGCATCACGCTGATCCGAAGCCAGGAGCCAGGTGCTTCTCCTGGTCTCCCATGGGGTGCAGGGCCCAAGCACCTGGGCCATCCTCCACTGCACTCCCTGGCCACAGCGGAGAGCTGGCCTGGAAGAGGGGCAATCGGGACAGAATCCGGCGCCCCGACCGGGACTAGAACCCGGTGTGCCGGCGCCGCTAGGCGGAGGATTAGCCTAGTGAGCCGCGGCGCCAGCCAGGACAAGCTTCTTTAAAATGAACAGAAATGTTCGTGAGGAAAACCGCTTGAATCACTAACAGCACCATGTCAGTAACAGCAAGAACACACACATACAGAGAAAATTCTTAAGAAAGTTTCACAGCCTTTTAATGGCGTTCTCTTAATTGGTGGTTATAATTGGAAGAGTGACACTGAACAAAGTGACAAAGAACTGAAGGAAGGGAACATCCTTGAAGGAACCCCGCGAGGAAGGGTCCTCTGGGAAGGGCCATTTTATCTCGCACCTAGAGGTTGCAAAGTGCCTCTTAGATATTTACCATGAAGATGCTATTCTTTCTCATTAGAGTGCAGGCTCCTTTGAGTAAAGTGTTCTAAGTTATTGCAGAACGAGAACCTCTGGCTTCACTTGCAGAACTAATATTACACAAAATACACTCAGAAGCCCCATCCCAGTGCTTCCCCATCAGAGTTAATGATGGCTGTTGTTTAACATGTTTGTCTTCTAGATCTCTAAACAAGTACTTATCAAAGTTTTCTTACAGATATTTACGAGGCAGGATTAAATTTTGGTGAATGCCTTTCAATTATATTATTTTGTATTTTTTTTTTCCTTACTGGATCAACTGATGTTATAGACGTGAAATAAATTTTTTTCTTTTAAAAACATTTTCATTTCCTTATACATGGTCCCATATATAAATGTGAAATGTGCATTTATTTTCTTTTCCTTAGTTACTTAGATCTTCCTTCTCCCTTCATCCTACATCTATTCCTCATCTACACCTAACACAACCAGCATGTGCCTTGCAAGTTTTCTCTTTGAATTCTGCACACTCTATTCAAGTCTATAAACATAATAATCATAGCTCATATTCATCAAGTTCTTTCTATGTACTGGTATTTTATATGCATTAGTTCATTCAATCTTCACAAAAATCTTACAGGATATGTATTGCTATTATCCCAATCTTACAAAGAAGGAAACTGAGTTCAAAAGAAGAGATTCACAAAATTGTTCAACTAGGAAATATTAGATACAGGGATTTGTTTCCCTTTGTTTTTTGTTTTGCTTTTTGAGTTTTCTTTTTAGCCAAATGGAGTCTTATTATATACACTTTTATGCACTTTGCTTTTTATCACTCAATAACACCTTGTGGAAATCATTTGAAATAGCTGTAATTCGTTCTCTTTAAAGGCTGTGTAATATCCTACAGTGTGGGTGCACTATCATCTATTCAACTCTTCCCCTCTGATGGGCATTAACTTTTTTTTCCACTTTTTTACTACTCTGAACCAGGCTGCAATAAACATTTCTGTACATGAGTTCTCGTGTGCTTGTGCTTTTACTTCTGTGTGATGGATTCCCAGGAGAAGAATAGCTGGCTCAAAAGATATGTGGATGGATAGATGGATAGATGGATAGATAGATAGATAGATAGATATTTAACTTTAATAGATATTGCTAGACTGCTTTCCAAAATAGCTGTAACACTTTATATTTCCACACCACCAGCAATAGTTTTCTTAATAGAAAACCATCCTTGAAGCTTCAGAATAAACTCTCTTTGGTCATACTGGATGATTCTTTTAATGTACTGTTGAATTTCATTTAGGATTCTGTATAACTATTGCTAAGTGATATAGGCCTACAGCTATCTTTTCAGTTCTATTTTAATATCAAGATTTCTGCCAGTTGCATAATGTGAAAGTAATAGTGCCTTTCTGATCACTCATTCATTCACTTACCCACTTATTCATCCCCTCAATGAACATGTGGCTGTGGCTAGGCAAGCACTGTACAAGTACAAGTGATACAAAGAAGCCATTCCCTACACTCAAGCTCATCTCCGGTGAGTGACTCCAGCACAGAATAGCAGATACCACCAGTAACTGAGATGTGCCCTGGATGTTAAGGTAGAATCAAAGATGAGAAGGTTAATGGATACCTTCTGAAGATGAACCTGCACAGCTTATCTAAACAGTTCATGTTTAGAGGAGACTTACATCATTTGTGGGAACTGGCTCTTTCTTCCTAGTCCTCAGCATCCCAACCAAGGACCCCAGGATCTCTCCTGGGCATGGAATCTTTATATGTTATCATTGTGGAAGGTAGGAGTCAAATCAGTTATTTCCCTAAATACTACAAAATGCACAAATAGCACTTGTTCTGAAGTCATGAAGCCCTCAGTGAGTGGTAGAGCTAATTCTCTTTCAATTTTTTTAGTGGCTCCCACCTTGAGTCAAATCTTGATGCAAACATGTCCAAGAGAAATATCTTCTTGAACACATTTTTTTAATTTATGCAATTAGAGTTATACAAAGTATTTCATAGGATTTTACTGTTGATTTAGTATTATTAGTAATTTCAATTTCTGTCATCCATTTGGTGTATAAACAAAATGGGCCAAGGTGAGAAGAAGTCGTACAGACTCAGTGGTGAACAGCTTGGATGGTTGTTTGGGGCCTGGAAGGGACAAGATTAGAGAGAGTTGAAGACAACGAAGTTGGGGGAGAGGCATGTGGATGAATCTAAAATGAAAAGAAATCCCATTCCTTCTACCATCATTTCTTTGATCCACATCCTCAAAATTATTAAAAATGAATAGCAAGTGGCCTTTTAAGACATCAACACTGGTAATTAAAATGTATAAATTAGGAATGAATATGAAACATAAACGAGGTCCCTTTCTATTGACAAGGCATCATCCTCCATGGGGGTCAATGAAAGGAACAGACTGAAAATACTTTGAACCATGTCACCAGCCTTCAGACTATCAAGCAGCACATCAGAGAAAAGGAAATCACTTTTTTTTTTTTTTTGACAGGCAGAGTTAGACAGTGAGAGAGAGAGACAGAGAGAAAGGTCTTCCTTCTGTTGGTTCACTCCAAAGCCAGGAGCCAGGTGTTTCCTCCTGGTCTCCCATGCGGGTACAGGGCCCAAGCACTTGGGCCATCCTCCACTGCCTTCCTGGGCCACAGCAGAGAGCTGTCAATTTACAAAACAATTTATTTCTAAGGGTTGGGACTCAGTTTTTATCTTGATGGGAATCATTCAAACAAATGTCATGTAGAAGCTCAAATTCACAAAATGTGGAGGAGTCAGCTTAGGCGGCAGCCAAACGTCTCATGAGCAAGCTTCCCCTACTAAAGGTGCTACATCACAGGACTTAAGATGCCAGCCATGGGGCTGCAGCCTAATTGATTGATTACACCCTCAGGTACCTCAAACCAACTCATGAGAAAAATCACATCCAAATATAGAACGTTTTATCACAGCCAGTGAATTGGAGCACCTAGCATTTGTGGGCCTGCTTCAGAGAAGCCCAGGAAATGCTTACGGTGCAGGATGGGGGTACAATCCCGGTTTATAAGCTACTCCTACCTTTTCTTTTTGTGTTAAAACAACCTGCCAATAGAAATAAGAATGAGATAAAAAATCAATAACGCATGCTGGAAAACTGCAGCATAGCCAAAATACCATATAGACCGAGGCAGGATAAGAAAGTAGGTCATTGTATTTGGAAGCCTTTAACTTAGATTCGATGAAATATCAGTACAATAAACTTCTCCGGTAAGTTTTTCTGACTTCATGTCACCAGTCTAAGTGCTGATGGTGCCTTCACCTCCCTAATGAAAGTGAAAAACTCACTCTCTGAAAATAAACATCTGTATGCCCTGGCATGTGAAATTTTGTCTCCCCTGTTTTTCTTGCTGTCTTATTTTATCTTCTAGTTTGAATTTAGAGAGGCATCTCCATGTTTCTATCTTCTTTTATGCCACATTATGTGATAGCATAAAATGGGGGATATAACAGCACCTACCTCAGAGGGCTATTCTGAGGATTTAAGTGAGAAAATATACATTTGTGCCACCAGGAAAGTATCTAGCATATAGCAATTTAAGCACTTAATAAATATTAACAGGTTGTTATGAT